AAAACAACAAAAATGCTAGAATTCAGTTTTCATTTTTGTATTTTTATTCCTTTCCCTGTTGATTACTGAAGTTCCATGTTTTGTTTTATCATGTCCTCTTTCTCTCGGTCTCTGTCTTTCTCCATCTCTCTCTGGTTGGTTTGGCAGTCTTGTTTTCCGCTAGCCAGTTTCTCCTGGGTATACAGATTTTGTTAGTCTCACAAAACTCTGAATTGTGTGATTGTTTTCCATTTTGTTATATTCTGTTCTTAACAATCATTACTTTTTTGTCTTTTCTTTTTTAGGTTCAATTTGTTGTTCTTAACTTCTGAAGAGAGATGCTTAGCCATCTGATTTTCATGTTTTATATTTTTCAGTATGCATGTTTAAAATTATAAATTTCCTTTTAGCATAACTTTAGCCCTATCTTTCAAGTTTTCATATGCATTTTGATTATATTTGCATTTTATTCATTCAAATTATTTTTAATTTCCATTGTGATCTCTTGAGTTATTTTTTCTTAATTAGCTAGTTTTCCAAAAATAATTGTGAATTTGTCTACTTGTAGTTCTATTCATTTGTCCTTGACATACTTCGAGGCTGTTATTCGGCACATATAAATTTAGAACTGTTCACTCTTTAGGAAGAATGAGGAGTTAAACATTTTCATTTATTAAAATTTACATGGGACTTATTTTTTCTTCTGCATCCTTATTTTTTAGGTCTTTGGAAAATTGTATGTGTTTGTCATATAGAGATGACAGACTTCATCCTTAACTCATAAGGGCCAATGTTGATTATATTTGCATTTTATTCATTCAAATTATTTTAAATTTCCATTGTGATTTCTTGAGTTTTTTTCTTAATTAGCTAGTTGCTTGATTGCTACTTTTATACTCTTGCCCTTAGTTTCTTTTTTTTTTTTTATTAAAAAATTTAAAACCAGACAAGAATATACAGGTTTTTTTTTTTGTGTGTGTGTGGTATTAGGGCCTCATGCATGCTAGGCAAGTGATTTACTACTGAGCTACATCCCCAGCCCTAGCCCTCAGTTTCTTTAAACAACATGATTATTCTATGTCCTGAGTCTATGAATTCTCGTTCTTGCAGTTTTGAGGTCTAAGTCTGTTTTGGTGTTTCTACTCTTATTCATGTTGCTTGTCTTATGTCCTTGGTGAACCTAGACTATATCTTATTACTTGATCTTAATCTGTGAGACTCCTGAAGGCTTACATTTGGATGTTTTCTTCCAGAAACTGCTTGTATCTGCTTCTGCTGGATGCCAGGGCATAATTCTAGTCTGTTTCAAGGATTTCAGCTCAATGTGAGAATTCTTGTTTTAGTTTACAACCTCATTGTTGCTCACACCTTCTCTGAGTTCCAGGAGATTCCATTCCTCCTTGTCATCCAATTTTTTCAGCTCCTGGACAGCTGCAAACAACATTTTCTTGGGGAGAGAGCTTATGTGGAAAATTCTTATGTTTTCTTGCTGATCCAGCAATGTGCTAGAAATTTGTTTGGCTGCAGAAGAAACCTAGATCTCCTAGTCCATCATTTTGAAAGGGTAACAATAATGTATGGTATTGACTTACTTCTGTGGGACAAAGATGTCATACTGTTGCTGAGTCAGCACAGAAGAATAAATGAGGTGTCATATTGTGATTTATATTACATAATTATCTTCTCACTGCTATATATCAATTGATGGAGACAAGTGATATGTATAATCCTCAAGTATACATAACCTTTAATTTGAAGTATAAAATATATATTATTTATCTTTAAGCTTGATAGAAGGTACTACATACTTTTTTCATTGGCACTTTGTAAAAGAATACTTAGTACTTTTTCCTCATATTTTGACTTTTTAAAAAATTAAGAGGTCAAATAACTGAGTTATTAAGTGAAATGTTCAAGTGTTTTGAATATATTATTTTTATCTTTTATGCACATCATAGACCATGATATTTGGCATGAATTTGTGACATTAAACATATAAACATATAGCTGTCTACATGCACATATCCAGATGTGCACATAATACTGTGGGGTGTGTATATACACATATAACCATCTCTATTTGGTATTTGGCAGAAAATTTGAATCTGGGTCACACCTTTGATTTTCCTTCAGTTGATGGTATATTACAAAATAAAAGGAATTATTTTTTTAATTAAAATTTTTGTTTAGTAAAATCTAGATGATGATAAGTTGGTGGTTCTTATTGGTGGATTTTATCTCCCAAGGGGCATTTTTGGTTGTCACACTGGTAATGGCAGAGGTGATCCTGTCATCTAGTATGCAGAGGCCAGAAATGGTGCTCCACATCTTATAATGGGAAGGTCAGCCCCACAGCAAAGATTGACCCGGCTTCCAATGTTGATGGTGTCGAAAGAGACCAAGGTGGCAGCCATAGCAGACTGGCTCCCCAGACACTTCTATTTTCTTTCTTCTGATCTTCTTTCTTACCTTTCCCTGAATATAATTTTCTGCATCAGTCTGGTATTGCAAAAACAGTTACATGCTTCAGTTAAATGGACCTTCCCTTTTATGTTTTCTTTTTCAACATTTAACTGTGCTGTTTAACTTTAAAAAAAAAATTGAAAATGCAACTTTCTTGAAAAACCTTCTCTATGGAGTGGCATTTCATTATGTACAATCCAACCGTGCCCTTACACACAGATCTTAAAATTTAAAAATCGCCTTCTATCCAAATTTAAATTTCATGTGGACATTAACCCAAATCAGAGAGGAATTCCTGCCTCTGCTTTTGTGTTTTATTTTTTTCTCTGTGAATCTTCAGTATGCATATATGATAGTAAATTATTTTATAGATGGTGTATTTGAGTTTGATCTTTTATAAGAAATGAGAATCTGGCCCTACCTTATGCTCCCTTTATTTTAATTTGAAAGACATTTTTAAAAACTCTGGGTGTCTTCTCACTTTCTTTAAATTTATTTTTTATTTATTTTATTTATAAATTACTTTTTATTTGTTTTAATTAGTTACACATGACAATAGAATGCATTTATGCAGTTTGGCATATCATACATAGACGGGATATAATTTCTCATTTTTCTGAGTATACATGTTATAGAATCATATTGGTCAAGCAGTCACATATGTACATAAAGTAATAAAGTATGTTTCATTCTACTATCTTTTCTATCCCCACATCCCCTCTCCTCTCCTCCTTTCAATTCCTTCTACCTAATCTAAGGTAATGCTATTCTTCCCTAGTGCCCCCTGCCTTATTGTGAATTAGCATCCACATATTAGAGAAAACATTTGGCCTTTAGTTTTTTGGGATTGGCTTACTTCACTTAGCATGATATTCTCCAACTCCAACCATTTACTGGCAAATGTCATAATTTCTCTCTTCTTTAAAACTGAGTAATATTCCATTGAGTATATATGCCACATTTTCTTTATCCATTCATCTATTGAAGGATACCTAGGTTGGTTACACAGTTTAGGTATTGTAAATTGAGCTGCTATAAACATTGATGTGGCTGTATTACTGTAGTATGCTGGTTTTAAGTCCTTTGGGTATAAACCAAGGAATGAGATAGCTGGGTCAAATGATGGTTCTATTCCAAGTTTTCTGAGGAATCTCCATACTGCTTTCCAGAGTGATTGCATCAATTTGCATTCCCACCAGCAATGTATGAGTATACCTTTTCCTTCACATCCTCACCAACATTTATTGTTGCCTGTATTCTTGATAATTGCCATTCTGACAGGAGTGATATGAAATCTTAGAGTAGTTTTAATTGCATTTTTCTAATTGCTAAAGACATCGAACACTTTTTCTTATATTTGTTGATCAATTGTATTTTTTCTTCTGTGAAGTTCTGTTCAGTTCCTTAGTCCAGTTATTGATTGGGTTATTTGTTTTTTTGGTATAAAGTTTTTTGAGTTCTTTATATATCCTAGAGATTAATGCTTTATCGGAGGTGCATGTGGTAAAGATTTTCTCCCAGTCTGTAGGCTCTCTCCTCACATTATTGCTTGTTTCCTTTACTGAGAAGAAACTTTTTAATTTGAATCCATCCCATTTATTGATTCTTGATTTTATTTCTTGTGCTTTAAGAGTCTTGTTAAGGAAGTCAGTTGCTAGGCTGACATTGTGAAGATAAGGGCCCATTTTTTCTTCTGTTAATCTCTGTTCTAGTGCCTAAATCTTTGATACACATTGAGTTGATTTTTGTGCATGGTGAGAGAGTGAGTTTTAATTTTATTTTGCTACATATGTATTTCCAGTTTTGCCAGCACCATTTGTTGAATAGGCTATCTTTTCTCTAGCGAATGGTTTTGGCACCTTTTTCTAGTATGATATAACCATATTTATGTGGATTTCTCTCTGTGTCCTGTATTCTGTACCATTGGTCTACAAATCTGTTTTGGTGCCAACACCATGCTATTTTTGTTACTGTAGTTCTGTAGTATAGTTTAAGGTCTGATATTGTGACGCTTCCTGCTTTCCTTTTCTTGCTAAGGATTGCTTTAGCTATTCTGGGTCTCTTATTTTTTCCATATAAATTTCATGATTGCTTTTTCTATTTCTATGAAGAGTATCATTGGGATTTTAATGGGAATTGCATTAAATCTGTGTAATGCTTTTGGTAGTTTGCCATTTTGACAATATTAATTCTGCCTATCCAGGAGTATGGGAGATCTTTCCATCTTCTGAGGTTTTCTTCAATTTCTTTCTTTATTGTTCTGTAGTTTTATTATAGAGGTCTTTAACCTCTTTTGTTAGATTGATTCCCAGGTATTTATTTTTATTTTTTTGAGGTTATTATGAATGGGGTAGTTTTCCTAATTTCTCTTTCAGTCGATTCATCGCTGATGTATAGGAATGTGTTTGATTTATGGGTGTTGATTTTATATTCTGCTACTTTGCTGAATTCATTTATTAGTTCTAAAAGTTTTCTGGTGGAACTTTTTGGATCTTCTAGATATAGAATCATGTCTTTTCACTTTTAAACTGATTTTCACCACACATTCTTTCTTCTAGGCATTGGCTCATCTCCACTTAATAGAATATGTTGGAGAACAGACTGCTTTGCTAATAAAGGTACATTAAATGCTGCAGTAGAATGTGCTCCAGTCCCTGTTCTTTGATTTTGTAAAAAGAAAAAAAATATATCTGGTAAGAACAGGTCACATTAATTATGTAAAAAGCACAGCAGGGAAACTATTTTATCCTGGGTAGCCTAGAGATGAAGGGAGATTTTTTTTTCCCCAAAGAATATATAATTACAGATGCCTGCTATTTTGCTTTTAGTCTTTAGTTAAAACCTGTCGAGAAGGAGAGCAGTGAACAGTCAGTGGATGCTGGAGAGGTCCCCGTCCCAGGTCCCTGCTGGTGGGACCAGTGTGTGGAACCATCAAATGTGGATGAGGAGGGGACTTCACTCTGCCCATTCCTCCCACGGGGCTAGTGGGCTGGGAATTGCTCTCCTTAGTTACTTTTAGAAACCAGCTGAGATTCCTGTGCAGTTGTGGCCCTGGTTTGCACTCCTGGGTTTGTTTTTGCCACATGTTAAGAAGAAGGATTAACAGTCCTTTGGTCTTTTCTGAGTCTCACTGACAAAAGATCAGATCCTAAGTGTGTGATCTCACAGTGCAGCTGTTGATGTACAGCACTGTTATTATCTGCTCCTTCCAGATGGTTCCAGAAGATAGGCGCCTTGCAGCTGCCATCGTCCTAGTGGTATGGGTCTCGGCCTTGGCGTCATCTTTGATTGACAACATTCCATTCACTGCTACAATGGTGAGTTGTACATTTCTGTGGGCTTGAGGACTTGCCTTCCGCCTGTGCACACTCTGGATTTGCCCTTCTTTCCTAAGAAGGCAGAGTACAAAACCAGCCCTTTCCCACAATCATGGTCAAGATTATAAAATGTGGGAAGAGCCAGGTCAGCTGGGCAGGGAGCTCTGAGAGCCCAGATGGCAGGCTGGGAATCAAGGGTCTGCAACCAGGGTGAACAGTGTACCATCATGGTTGGCTACTTTAGGGTTAACCCACCCAAGATCTGCTGCCCCTCTCACAAGACTGTCTTTTTTTTTTCAAGAAAAAGTTGAGACACCAAGACAATTTCATCTATATTTCCTATGGACATAGAAGCTATTCTAATCAGCCGTGTGACTTTTGGTGCTTGTCTTCGGCGGGAGTTTTAAGTTTCTTTGTGGTCCTGACCCCCATCCAAGACCAGAAGTACCCACCACAAGCCTCTTATAGGGCGGATGAGCCCTACTCCTAGGGTAGTTTCTGTGTCATGGTTTCTGAATTCTGGTGTGACAAAGCAGGATCAGAGGTTGCATACAAGAACTGGGGTCCTGTCACAAACACCTCAGGGCCCAAGAGTCCTGGACACAGGGACACAAGCCTGGTGAACATTCCTCATGGCAGGGTACTAGATGGGGGAGTCCTCTCTGGTGTTCTTGTGACTGGGCCCCCTCTGTTCCCTATGAACAGTTCATGTCAGTGGGCTCCCAAGATACTTTACCAGCCTGTGCATATTGGGAACAGTGAGACCCTAAGGTGACAGCAGGAAGTCTGACAGTGTGAGGAGGGGGTGGGCTAGGCTTACGGTGGGGCTTCTCTAACTAGGACCCACCTTGAGTGGACTTGGTAATCTGCATCACTCCCAGTCTGGGATTCACAGTTTCTGTCTAGAGATCTGGCTACTGTTCTCCTTCTAAGGCTAGAGGTCAGTAATGCTGAATTAACTCTGTGGCTATTGTGATTTCTTCATGAATTGCCAAGGGAGAGAAATCACATACCTACTGTTACTTGTCCCAGTTCCAGGAGAAAAAGCAAAGTGCAGAACAATGTTTAGAGTAATTGCTTTCTGTGTAAGAAGGGGGAGAGAATACGAACACACACACACACACACACACACACACACACACACCATTGAAGGGTAGACGAAGCCAACTTTTTAAAATGCTGACTTGAACTCCTAATTTAAAAGACAGAAGTTGGCAGACTCAACAACAGACAAACCCCTAAAACAAGAACAACAAGACCCAACTGTACACTCTTTAGGAGAAACACTTTAAATCTAAAGACAAAGACAAGTTGAAAGGACCTAAAAATAACAGGCAAAACAAACTTTAAGAGTAATGCTTGAGATCAAGAAGGGCATGGTGTTCCAACGAAAGGGTCAGTTCATTAAGAAAACATAACAATGCTAACTATGCATGCACTTCATTACATAGTTCCCAGGCACCAAATCAAAAATCAACAGAACTGATTTTCAGCACAGTTATCTTTAGGGGATAGGTCTCTCATTTGTCACTTTCATAGAGTGTCTGGAGTTGGAAGGTGTCTTTCCTGAGCCTACTATTTTGAAATTTTAAGCCTTCCCATGCTGTCAATAATAACGAGTGCACTTTCTGCTTTTAATTACCCCATAATATCCAAGTACCATGGCCACTGCATGAAACAAATGCCTTGCCTTCAACCTGGGCCTTATCCAAATGAACCACAGGTAAAAGGTTTAAAAATTTCAGCGCCCTTGTTATCACACCCATACTTCTTTTCATTAATAATCAGGTCCTCAATCTTCAACTGGTGAGTAGTAGTCCAAAATTCTGTTCAAGCCATCTGCTTTCTAGGGCCACAAATATTATCAGCTGTCTTAGTTTTGAGCTTTCCAGACAGACAAGGCTGAGGCAATCCCAAGGAACTGCAGTGGGATGAGTAGGAGAGTTAGCCAGGGAAGAGGGAGGGTGAACTGGGGAAGTCATTTGCAGCTGATCTCTCTGGGCAGATTGGTACTATTTGCTTCTCAGCATAGTCTGTCTAGGAGAGGAGAAGAGAATTGATCAACTGTCTCATGTTTGCATGGGTCAGAGCTTGGTCTTGGGGTTGTACTTTTGGGGACATCTACTGGGGGACCTGTGTTGTGTCCCACCTCAGCATCAGCAGGTAAGCCTTCTGGACATGAAGGAGGAATCACATAGTATGGAGGAAAGGTGCCATCAAAGTGTGCATGTGCTGGTGATCAGAGCCCATGAAGAACTGCCTCAGAATAGTGCCTGGGAGGAGTCTGATTCAGAGTATCTATAAAACTCAAACCAATGTACTTAGATGTGAAATGTTGAGTGTTGTCTTCCTGAAGTATGGAAGAAGACAAAACTGTGGGCACCATTTCTATCAACCATCCCAGAGGTCAGTGGCAGTGCAGTGAACCCAGAGAAGAAATAAGAACTACAAGGACTAGAGAGGAAGAAATAAAACTGTTGCTCTTTACAGAGAATATGAATCTGTATACTTAGCTTAAAGGGATCTATCAATTGAGAATTAAAATTATTCGTTCCTTTATCAGGGACTCTGGAGTTAAAAGTCAGTTAATAATCAGCTGTATATTTTATCAGGAACAATAAACTAATAGAAAATGAAATTTTTGAAATAAGTGTAATTCATAATAACATCAGAAAGGAAAAAGAATAAAAGAAAAAAAAGAGGGTCCCAGTTTTGGCTCAGTGGGCTCCAACTTTTTTGACACGATTGAGGCTTCTCTTAAATGATTCTTTAACCCAGAGACAAGATCAGCTTATGCAATTATCCTGTTCCCAGATAAAGCAAAGTGCTCTAGCCATGCAAGGCTAGGTGGTGTGGTCACAGAATCCAGGTTTTGTCAGTCTGTGTTAATCAGATTTTGGAACTGTGACAAAATACCCAAGAAAAATCAGCTTAAAAGGAAAGAGATAGAAGTCAAATTATCTCTGTTTGCTGATAACATGATCTATACTTGGAAGACTTGAAAAACTCCACCTGAAGACTGAAGAAGAGCTGGTAAACAAATTCAGCAAAGTAGCAAGATACAAGATAAACATACAAAAATCAATAGCTTTCTTATACTCCAGTAATGAATCCACTGAGAAAGAAATCAGGAAAATAATTCCATTCACAATAGCCCCCAAACAGTTGGAAATAAATCTAACTAAAGAAGTGAAAGAACTCTGTAGTGGAAAATTGTAGAATACTGAAGAAATAAATTGAAGAAGACCTCAGAAGACGGAAAGATCTAGAATGTTCCTGGATTGGCAGAATTAATATCGTAAAAATGTTCATATTACCTAAAGTGAGCTACATATTCAATTCAATCCCCATCAAAATATGAATGACATTTTCACAGATGTAAAAGAAAAAAAATCCTAACATTACATGGATCCAGTCATGGTGGTGCACACCTGTAATCCCAGCTACTCAGGAGGTTGAGGCAGGAGGATTGCAAATTTGAGGTCAGCCTTGGCAACTTAGCGAGACACTGTCTCACAATTAAAAAAGCAAAACCCAGAAAACAGGGCCACTGGGTTAAATTTCCAATACCACCCCTCCCCACACTTCCAAATTCATTGGAAGAATGAAAGACCTAGAGTAGCCAAAGCAATACTGAGCAAGAAAACTGAGACTGGAGGCATCACGATATTGGATCTCAAACCATCCTGGTAACAAAAGGTTATAGAAGTATGGTAACAAAACTACCATGGTATTGGCATGGCATAAAAACAGATATGAAGACCGAAAGAGTAGAATAAAAGACACAGAGACAAATCCATATTGATATAGTCATTAAATCCTTGACAAAGCTACCAAAATCATACATTGGAGAAAAGATAGCCTTTTAAATAAATGGTACTAGGGAAACTGGATACCCATATGTAGAAGAAAAAAACTGTATCTTTATTTCTCACCATTATGGTTGGAACATGAGGTCCTCCCCTAAAAGCTCCTGTGTTCATGTAGCAGGTGAAATGATTGGATTAGGAGAGTTGTAACCTAATCTGTGGATTAACCCATCTGATAAGTTAATAATTTGAATGGATTAACTGGGTGGTAACTGTAGGCAGATAGGGTGTGACTGGAAAGAGTGGGTCACTGGGGGTGTGCCTTTGGGGTTTATATTTTGTTCCTGGTACCTCACACACACACACTCTCTCTCTGCACCTGGCTGCCATGAGGTGACAGCATTCTTCCTCCATGCCCTTCTGTCATGATGCTCTGCCTCATCTCAGACCCAGAGCAATGGAGTTGGTTGATTGTGACTGAACCTTTGAAATTATGAGCTCAAAATAAACTTTTTCTCCTCTAAGTTGTTCTGATCAGGTGTTTTGATCCCAGCAATGAAAACCTAACTATCACTTTCACCAAGCACAAAAATTAACTCAAAGTGGATCAAATACCTAGGAATTAGACCAGAAATACTACAACTGCTAGAAGAAAACATAGGGTCAAGACTCCAACATATTGATTCAGGGACTCCCAAATCTCAAGAAATAAAATAAAGAATCAGTAAATGAAATGGCACTAAATTAAAAAAAAAAAAAAAACAAAAACTTCTACACAGCAAAGATAACATGTAAGAGTGCAAAAGGAGCCTACAGAATGGGAGAAAATCTTTGCCAATTACTCTTCCACCAGGGGATTAATATCCAGAATACATAAAGAACTCAAAAAACTAAACACCCCAAACACAAATATTCATATTAATATATGTGATGGAGTTTTATTCAGTCATGTAAAAGAATTAAATTAAGACATTTACTAGTAAATGGATGGAACTTGAGAGAGTATCATGCTAAGGGAAATATTGCAGACTCAGAAAGTCAAAGACTGAATATTTTCACTCCTTTGTGAAAGCAAGAGAGAGATTTATAAAAAGCAGGACAGGGAGAGAATAAAATGAAAATAAAAAGAATAGTAGAGAAAGGGGATAGAAGGATGGGGCAGAGAGGTGGGTAGGAGAGCAGCTACAGAAT